GGTTATTAGGTAACTTGGTAGGGGCATTAAGGGAGTAATTATGAGAGAGGAATGGGGGGGGATAGGAGCCCAGTGGCTGACATAGGAGGGATAGTGAAGGAACGCCTATCGAGTGCACAACGGGGAGGTTGCTGTAGGCAAGGGTTTTAGGGGGGATGGAGGAGGTCATGTGGGGTGATAGACCATCAGCGTGTGACCTGCGATGGGAGGGCGCCAGCGCATTGCAATGGAAATGGTGGGTTTGAGAGTTCTTGAGGACATCGGGGGTAGGGGTATAGGGAGGACCAGATTTGGTGACGACGGAGGGGTTGGGAGGGTATGTGATGCTTGGTTAGTGCATGTATGAGGAGTGTGGGTTGTGAGAGAGGGGCTTTAAGAGAGACAGAGGGGTTGGGTGCGGGCCGTGTGATGGACACGGGGACGACAGGGAGGAACAGTTACAGGGGCCTATTGTGGAGGGGAAGAGGTGGTGGATGGCTTTAAAGAGCATGAGAGGGGTAAGGCGCGGGGATAGATGGGCTGCCTGCGGAGTTTTTACTTACAAGCTTTTTGGGGGAGTATTAAAAGATTTTTTGGTGTGCAATTATTTAATACTCATAAAGAGCGGGGTTGCACTGGGACCTTTGCAGGCGACAGCGCAAGGAGTTTTGTGCCAAAGGGTGAATGGTCTGTGCACGGTGAGAGATTACTGGATGATATCACTCATGTGGCAGAATACAACTTTTTGCAAAAATTTTAGGGAAATCGTATATAGTAGGTCATTGGAAAGGCTATTAGTGAGGGGTCAATATGGGATTGTGGGGGAAGGTCATTGTTATGAGGGGCACGGAGTTATTAGAAGGTTTATTGAGGGTCCGCAGAAGAGGGGGAACGAGGGGTATTGGCGTCGTGGATTGGAGAACGGCATATGACAGTGTCGAGAGGAGGCTTCTCTTTGGAGGAATATGGAGTGGCAGGGGTTGGGGAGGACTTGTGAATTGGGCACGTACTTTATATCGGGGAGCTGGGATGTGTGTACAGATTAATGGGGAGGGTGGGTTGCATTTGAAAATGGGCAGGGGATTGAGGCAGGGATGCCCGTTGTCACAAATATTTTTGTGTTTACAGAATCCGTTTATAGGCAGTGGAAGTGCATTACAGGGGGGGGAAGGGAGGACCTACGAGGTGGGAGTCCGGTATCATAGGTTATGTTGATGGTCCACGCCTGTCCTTGTGAGTGGGAGGGAGGGATCGGAGGGTCTGGAGAGAGTTATAGATTGTTTTTGGATGGGCAAACAGGTTGGCCGTGCAATGTGCACTAAATCAAAGTTCATGAGGATTGGGTGATGGGTTTGGATGGGCGGGAGGCTGGGGGTGGGGTTGGCCAGGTGGGTGTGTCGTGGGATCCGTGAGAAAATTTGTGGAGTTGTGTAATATGGGTAAAGCTCAGATGGGAGGGAGGAGGTTAATTTCAAAAGGTAGTGGTAGATAGAAGTATGGGAAGATTGTCAGGATTGCAGCCACACATCTCACGCTAACACCAAGGTCATTGTTGGGTCCATGGCCTTTTGCTAAGCCAAAATTTGGCATGTGGAAAGCTTGGTTACCTTTGTACGTGTATGGGGATGTCCGGAGTCTGTTGAGCAGTGTATTTCCATTTTATCGGGGTTCGGGATGCGTTGTTGAAAAGGGAGGTGGTTAACACTTCCGGATTGCTTGGGAGGGCTGGGGTTAATTATTTGGGAAAGAAGGTTTGAAGTGTATATATGTGAAACATGGTTGATAAGGGCTTGGGGGGAGGGGGAGTGGAGGGTTTGGGGGATGCTGCAAGGAGGAATCTTGGCGATGGTGGAAGGGACAAGATTGAGAGATGGTGAGGAGTTTGACGTCTATGATGAGGTCAGCGAGCCGAGGAAACATCGAGGGTTGGGTCCTTGGAGCGGACGATATGGCCTCGGGTGGTAGTGGGAAAACGGAAGGCGTGTACCCGATGGTACGATTGGGAAAGAAATGGGGTCGATTAAAAGGGTTATGCATCCGGCCAGCGTGAGGGAGGTAATGTATAGGTTTCTTCACGGAATATTGCCGTCTGGGGTTGTTTTTACGAAATAGGAGATAAGGGAGGGTGGGGAGTGTCCGGTTTGTGGGGTAGATTGAATCAGCTTTTCCATGTAGTTTATTTTTTTTGTGAATGCCTAGGGGCTTACGGGGAATGGTTAGGAGAAAAGTAATCCGGTAGTGGGAGGGAAAGGGTTGTCGGTTTTGGAGTGCTCAGTTTAGTTGTAGGTGGGTTGGGGGTAAAGGTTCTAAGGGCAGTGTGGTTACGTAAGTGGTTGATTTTGTGTTATTATCATGGGCAATGAGAGACAATGGGGCGGAGGAGGATGAATGTCGGATGGCCTCATAGCAGCATCCTATTATAGAACACAAAGTGTCCGAAAGGGAAATATATGGTAGGAGTGGGAGAGGATTTCTCGGAGGGCTACAGGGACTTCTTTGAGGATTATGGTCTTTAAAGCTTGTCAGGGGCATGGAACGGGCTGGCCTTCCAGGGGGCGGGGGGTTGTGTGTGTTACAGAGGGCGAGTGTGTGAGTGTGTGTGGAATTGTGTGAGGAAAAGGATGTTGAGGTGTATTCATGTGATATTCAATTGGTATTGTGTCTTGGTGTTATTGTGAACACCGTTGATAATAATTTATCTAAGGATCCTTATGTTTGGTAAGGATGTACATAAGCCTGTTAGTATATATGCATATTTTAACCTGTTCATATAATGTTACTATTATGAGTCATATGTCAATTGTCATAATAAAGAGGCTTTCATACCTGATTTTTTACCTAGTGGCACGTTTTTGGTATTGTTATATTATGTAAGATATTGCCTGTGGGTGTTTTTGCTTATATATTGTTACAGATTTTTTTCACATTTTTCATTATATATGGTCAATGTGGAATGAGTTTTTTTGATCTTGTGTATAGCCAGAGTGACACTGGACAGTTTTTCACTTGGTGGGGGGCGGGGGGGGGGGTAGGAGTGTAAGAACAATATCTTGCATTAGCAGGTCTTGTGACAACATGTCATTTATTTTAGATGTCTAATTGTTGTCCATTCTCTGTAGGATGAGTCAATAATCTGTCTGCAGGAGGGAATAATGTGTAAATTTATTTATTATTGTGTAGGTTTATGTTTATAGGTGTTTTTTAGGGTGATATATACATTATAGACGCTAAATTCATCAATGTTGTTGGTGGTTAGGTCGTGGTGACAGCAGACACAGGTAATAGGCATGTGGGAGGTTGGGTTGAAGAGTCAGCGGTAGTTGTCTTAATTCACCACCGTGGCACGATATTAATTATTACCATGGGTTATGAGGGTAGGGTGGATTGTGTTCTATGGTGGATGTGAGCCATCAGGTTCAGACATTCCTTGTATTATAGTGTGCCGTTTAGCTGGCTGGATTGTGTTTATATATTTTGTCATTGAAGTTTTTATGCTTTTACAAATGTTATAAGTATAAGAGATTTGTCACTGTGTATCTAAGGTGAAAGTGGCACGTTTTCATGGTGGGGGGGGGAGTGTAAGCATTACTGGGTAGGTTCTATCGTTTTTTTAATGACCACCTTTTCATGTGAAGCACAGTACGTACAAGCGGTGTTTGATTTGAGTGCAGCAGCCAGTTCTGTCATTATATATGTGCTTCTTCAGTATTTGTGTAGTCACAGTTGATTATTGTTCACTGCCTGTATCTTGTTACATATTGATTATGTACCCATATATTTTTGTACCTGAGTTTTAAATAAAATATAAAAAAAAAAACTTGTATGTGAACCACCTGGAAGCTGAATTCTTCGCCAAATATCATCCCCACCAGCGTTATGTGAGAAACGTCCTCTTAACAGCTCCCAAACGTTTTGAGGGGCGGAATCTTGAGGCAATGCTCAACCCAGCTGAACAGGTTATCTAGATTGCACTTGAAGAAGAGTCCAATGGCAAGTTACCTTTTCTAGAAGCTCTCATTTACGAAGTAGATAGCACTCTAAGGTTTCAAGTTTACAGGAAGCCTACAAACGAAACCGATTTCACACACTTCTTCTCCAGTCAAGATACTAAAACAAAAAGAGGTATCATCATTGGACTTTTCCTAAGAGCATACCTAATTTTCAGTCCAGAGTTTCTTGACTAGGATTGTACATACACCAAACCTTCACTGATCTACATTTCCCTTCCTTTTTATCAAAGACTGCAAGAAAAGTGCCCTTCGGATCATCAATTCTCCACACACTGACACCACTCCCAACAAAGTTATAATCCTTCCCTACAACCAGGTTACATTGAACGTCTCACAAGTGCTCGCTCAAACTAACACTGGAGTCGAGGACGAAACTGAGAAACATTGAACCACTCATCGCAGGGGAACACTTCTCAATGAACACATTAATGCATATAGGAGCTATAACTTGAATATCGCCTCCGTACAATACTAGAATTCCACCAACCACCTGTGAAATTCAACGACGCCCACCTAGCGAGTCAAGAACCCAATTTCCGTAGACGTAAATGCCTTGATTATTAATCGCTATTTCTAGCATAATTAAAGAAAATAAAGGTAACTTCATCAACTTTGAAGTATTAGCAAGAATTCTTCTCAAAACAATATACTCAGCATCACTTAGCTGCTACCACTACTACTACTACCACAATTACTCCAATAACTACTACTACTGCCAGTACTACAACAACTACTACTGCAAGTACTACAACTACTACTGCAAGTACTACAACAACTACCACTACTACTACCACCACCACCACAAGTACCGCTACTACTACTACTATTACCTACAACGAATATATTGCACTTTTCATAATATATTTTGTACCTATACATACCGCTCTGTCCCTGAATTGTTTGTAACGACTTGACAAAAGTCGAAGAGCGAAACGTTGAGACAATGAAATGTCTCATTAGTTGCATTTGTTTCCTTTTACCTAACAAAATGAGAGATGTACGACTACTCACCAAAGCCTTCAAGTGACACCAACACTACGTGTTTTATTTCCAACACTGAAATTGTTGCCACCACCAGCCCGCGAGTCTCCAACATTGGTACTGTCTCCATCACTGGTCTTCTCGCCAACATTGGTGCAGTATCCAGCACTCTCATTCCACAAGTAATTGCTAGTTTTAAATGAAGCATAAAATTAACAAAAAAGAAGAAATAAGATTAATTAATTCTGAAGTGGTGTTTAAATGTTTATTTGCTCGTGCATATGATTTCTGAAAAATGGTAATTCGCTAAATACTAAATAATTATTAATACATAATGGGAAGAACAAAGATTAGGAAGTTAACAATAGGCAATTCATGGCAATTTCATCATATCTAGAACAGATACTCTTAAACAGAAATAATGAGGAAAATAATAATATTATGAAATGAATGTGAAAGTTGCATAGTTTGGAAGGAGACAAATGACACAAAGCGACAAGCAGTGAAAAAGACAGTGAGTAGGACGTGTTGACTGAAGACGCCCGTCTTCAGTCAACACGTTACAAATGGTACATCATACTTGTGGTATATAGTACTCGTCCGGCACTGCAACACCATGGTTCTTGGTACCAGGGATGCTCTCAGCTATACTATTGCTAACAAATGTTCAGCATGACTTACTTCCACTTGTTAGCCTAGTGGAAGTAGATCATTAAACTAAGATGGACTAATTTTTTTTTTTTATTTTATTGAAAACTTACATGGTACCAAAATATAGACATAAAAACTGTTTTTGTCAAAAGACAAGAAAACAAAACTTACACAATTTATAATCTCACCACAAAATATACCTAATCCATTGAACTAAACCCTTACACTATAGTATCTCTCTCTCAATCCCTTGCAATGTGCAGGATGATAAACCCTTGCAGCCACATAATAGTGGTAACCCCCCTTTTCATGTACTTAGCCTGAAACAATGTGCATATATACACATGACATGACAAAAGTGTATAACCTAAATCAAAAAGAATCATGTTATTTTTTGACAGTTAGTACATACAAACTAACAGATCTTAGCATTTACTAACTTACATTTTATAAAAGTTATATATAAATAAAAACTAACAAACAACTAACAAAATATGAAAAATTGTTCAAATAAATGGACCAACAATAACTTTTACACAATACAAAACGTCAAAAACATCTTATGCTAAATATAAAAGTTTTATACAATGTTAGATTCAGTACTAAGTCTAATATATACACTTCATGCAAACTTATAGATGTATTATGCCTTTAAATCTAAAGCCATTTAAACAATGTTCCAGAGCAATATCAGACTTACTCTGTCATGCACTAAGTTACACAATATAACTTATGGCTCCTAATAAAACATGTACCGGGCAGTACTACCTCAATCATGAACAAAACCAACCTGGCAAAAGACACTTCAGAAAGCCACCCCCTGCCATCCCCTGACCCCATGCTATCTGTATTAAAAAAAAAAACACAAACTCACGTTCCCTTCCATGCTCAAGTTCGTACCTGACGTCGAAAGTCATAAAACCCCTGTCTCAACCAAATGTCACCAGTTCACCCCCCCTACGCCCCCCCCCTTTCCTAACGACTTTACACCCATATGCTCCACTACCACACACTTTTATTCCACCTTCCATCCTCCACTAATCTCAAAAAAGAACAAAAATGCCAGTTTAGGGAGAACCAGCCCAATCCAGCTCTAAACTACACCCAACCCTAACATTACACCTACCGATAGATTACGATAACCCAAGGGAAAACTATTTACCCACAACCTCCCATATAGTAGCCTATTTCTGCATACTGTACGATACACACTCGCCGCAAGCGCCCGCACCCTATATTCACCCCCCACCTCCCGCATGCACCAAGACACATACAAAAAATCTGCCACTATATACATCACTGCCCTCCGAATGTCCTTGGAAACCCCTCCCACATCGAAATGCAAAGCCCTCAAAGTCGAAATGTTTCTTCCCCCTCCCGCCACTATACCCAGAACTCTCGCTAACCATGTCCTTACAAAACCCAAGGTTTCACAAAAATATATGGCATGAAAAGCCGTCTCCTCTTCCTCACAATGCAAACAAGTGCCAGCACCTACATAACCCATTCTATATAACACTGACCTTGTAGCTAGAATTCCCATAAAGAATCTATAAACCACTTCACGAACCCTTGGCTTTAATCTGATCTTCCGAAAGTCTTCCCAAATGCCCCTCCAATCATACATTGGGTATGTAGCTACTCCCTGTATCACTGTACCCTGCCTACCTATCCTCCCAAGCCTACTTACCCTTACTTTTTTTTTCCCTTACTGCCAACAAATTTCGCACCATATCTTCACACTCCAGTAGTTCCTTTCCCTTCCACCATTTTCGCACATCCTTCATGACCTCTCCCACCCTTCTACCCTCTCCCCTCCCACCCTCAAGTATCGCTGCTTCACATACACTGCCTTCACTCGTGTGTCCAAAGGTATAAGACCCAGCCCACCCTGCCGCACGCCCATCGTCACCACCTCCTTCCGTAGCCATGGCTTCCCATAACCCCACACATACCTCAAAACCACCCTCTCCAGTTCCTGAATATCACACGACCTCAGGGGATATATTTCTGCCACGCCCCACACTTTACTGTACACAAGTGTATTTACTACCACCACCCTCTGCTGCAATGTTATATCCCCAGCCCTCCACCCGCGCATCCTACCCATCGCTCTACTCACTACTTCTTTGGAATTTATTCTCTGTGCCTCCCCAGCGTCCGCCATATACACAACCCCATGGACTAATTACACCAGCTACATCTCAGCCCTCGTCTGCTTCGTCTTTTCTCCTTCTCTGCAGTCGACTGATGAAGCCAGTACCGCAGGCGATATGTTTCTTCAAAAAGGATTCTTAGTGTTACCCCCGTGTCTTACTCTTCATCTTCAGACAATACACAGAATGTATAACAAGCAAGTGTATAGAAACATTACCGGGGGGAGTGGGAGGGGGAGGATGAGTCAGGTTGTAAAAGAAACGAACGAAGCGCGACTGCCGGAACTGCTTTAATTCAAACACAATACAGTCTAACAGAATCAAGGTTTTAGTTTATCTAAATATGTAGCTCAACTTATGTTGTTTAAATAGGTTAACGGTCACACAGTGACTGGCCTGACCTCTCACCATCTTGTTCTACAGTTTTACGCCTCAGTAACGTTCTCTGCAACTGTCTTTTTCCAGCTTTACATTTTTGAAATTTACTAACGTAATTAATAAATTTGGTGTTACAGTTGTCGTGAACAAATAAATAAAAATAATAATAAACATATATTTTAGCCAGTTCACAACTATACCGACTCAGCATTTATAGAAGGAGTGATGGAGTGTTAATCTAATGGAGTATCCACGAAGCCCCTTTGATGTCAGGAACTCCATATAAAAGTGACATAAGTAACAGTTAGCATTCTTTTTTTTAACACTGGCTTAATCGTTATATCAGTGATTTTTTTTCATATTTTATTTAAAAACATCTTACACAGTGTACATGATGCTATACATAGGTTCATTGAAACTAATAAAAGTGAAATGTAAAAACAAAAACAAAAACAAAAAAACTCCACATACAATACCCCAGTATAAAAACACATTCACAAGAAACATACTGCTAGGACTGTAGCTGTACTATTTCCATCCTTCCCCCAGTATCCAACAACCTGCAAAACGTATGATTCATACCAAATATATCCACACTTTAACAAACTTTTTTTCTCTTTGATTACATTAATCAGCCCGATCTTTTAAACATCACAAAGAATCTATACAATCCTACTGCGGACTGTCCTCATCGCTTCCGGGCCGTGTGGACGTGCTGCGCAGACGCTCCTGTTTGGGTTCGTTTTTGCGCAGTTTACCTGTTGAGCTGCCCTAGCGTTGGTTTGGGTGGGAACTTTTTTTTTCCCCAAAACAGGCCCTAAATAGCAAAGAATCAATTGTCGCATTGAGATGATCCGGGGGGCTGTCAGGGGATCCACGGGAAATTATTGTTACCAGCGATCATTCGCGTCCCTTTTTGTATAGAAAATGGGGAATAAGGGGTGTCGTACTAAAGGAACGACAAGAATCTTCTTTAAAAATGACGTCTGCAGAGTCTACGGGGGGTGGTCGCCCAAGTTCGGGGAGCCCCCAATACGGTTAATACAACGTTCGGTGCGACTCCTGATGTATCTCGAACTACATTTGGGGGTAAAAATCGGGAATGTCCCTTTTGAGGCGATGATTTTGATTTTAGATGAACTGCGTATTATGGGAGGGTTCACGTAGCCACAGCAGGGAGATGGGAAACTGGACCGTATAGGTGCGCGGAAGGTACATTACTGTTAAAATGATCTTCAAACCCCCGTTCCTTAAATTTTTGTTTTAAAGGGAATTACGGACTCAAGCCATGTAACGTATGTGGGGCAACAACGACGTGGGGGCTATGGGGGTTCATATCCCACATCGCGGCAAAAAGTTGGGAAACGAAGTGGTAACCCGGGGCAAAACTGGCAACACACCAGTGGGGAGGTGGGACAGGAAAGAGTCTCTTGCTACGCCGCCCCAACACGGTTTTGGGAGGAGAGGTACAAAAAAAAAAGGGCTCGAATCCCCATTTTTAAGTCAAGAGAACTCAGTCTTTGGAACCCCAAGGTTTTTTGGGAGGTTAATAGGGGTGAAGAAGTGGCGGGTTTTGGAAAGGGTTGGATGGGGGTTAGAGGAAGGCCCCCTAGACGGTGGGAGCCCCATTGTTTTGGGCGGCGGAAGAGGGGGCAAGATAGGGGTTTTGAGAAGGTCAAAAGATTGAAGGGGTGATTCAGAGAGGGGAGGGACAGGATGTTTAAAAAGACAAAATGGGGGGAGGGGGGACACGAAAGGGCTGCAGAAAATCATGGATTCAAGTGTTTTTAAAAAAGGGGGGGCCCGGGGGAAAAAGTTTGGGGAAAGGAAAAAGGGGAAAAAGGGGGAAAAGGGGTTTAAACCCAAAGGAAAAATCCAGGGATTAAAGTGGTTTTTTAAATTTTAAAAGGGGGGAGAAGAAAGGGGGGTTTTTGGGGGAAAAAAACTGGGTAAAGGGGATGGGGGGACAAAAGGGGGGGTTGATTAATTG